GGCCTAAACGCCCAACGCTGAAACCTGAGCTTAAGACTTAAGACCCCTCAACCCTAAACCCTAAACCCCTAAACCCCAAACCCCAAACCCTAAACCCTAAACCCTAACAATTCCAAATACCCTGAGCCCCAGAAGGAATGCTTTGACCTTAAGGAAGGCCAGTCCTTCCAAGGTTGTCGGACACTGTGAGGTCAGAGCCTGAATCGCTAGTTCCTTTTGGGGGTTCATATATAGAATCCTATAAGGTAAGCCCAAAAGGGGAACTACTATGGGGCCTGCTGGGGTACTATAGTAAACCCCAAGAAGTTGAAAACCGGATTAAGGACGAATAGTGCTGGGATTCCCTATACATTACTCTTAAGGATTGAGGCTATTGGGTTTCCAACTTTTGGGCTTCTAATGTAAGTGCTTGGGCTTCAGCGCAAGTCACCACGCCTTAAACCCCAAACCCTGAAGCGTAAACCCAAAAGTATGTAATGCTGCAGCACATTAAAGTGAGGACTGGGTGGCGCAGTATTGGCTTTCAAAACCAAGTATGGCAGGACAGATAAACCCAACGAAAGCACCCTGTGGACCTGCCATGACCTGCCCCAAACAAATGCTCTAGATCCCATGTCCCAATGTATCAAGCGAAGAGGGCTTGGTACTACAAGTTCAAGGGTTCAGTACTCCGGGCGACAAGGTACAGCGACAGACTCCATCTACTGCGCATGTGGCATCCTGCCAAGCCAAAGCTTCAAAACATACAACACCTTCAGCCTGTAATGTATGTAGATTAACAGGCATATGATATGTGCATGCGTGACGTGCGTATGTACCTACATGCATGCATACGCACGTATACGATATACAGATGTATAATCACTACTCTTGGGGGCCCCTGCGTGCTTCCACCAGCAACTGGATGAGCTGAGCTTGCCCTGATCGAGGAGGGCAAACTTCGAGTTCATGGCAGAGTGAAGGTGTGGAGTTTTGGGTCGGGGTTCTGGCTCAGGGTTCAGTGATGTTTGGGCGGCTTGGGGACATGAGAAGCAGAAGCCAATGAAGATCAGCAAAGGATTCCTTTCTTGGAGGGAGTGTCTGAGGAGGAACCTGTACACACTTGCGTTGATGGTTTGCACTATCCAAACAAAGACTCTGCCTCATCGTTTGGGCGTCCTTGGCCTGCTCCGGTTTTGGACTCGAATCAGTCAGCAATTCCACCCTGTTCACGATACCGCCCTCACAGCTCTTCCCTGTGAGCTGAAGTTTGCAGAAATAAACCGCCAACCCTAAACCCTAAACCCTAAACCCTAAGCCTGCACCGTGAGGCCTTCAACTTCTGCCCCTCTCGAGACCCGCGCGTGTGTGTGTGTGTGCGCGCTGCTGGCTGCTGAGGCCATGTAATGTAGGAACCTGATTAAGAAACCCTGGCTCTTTATAAGGGTTCTGAATATGAGCCCTAATATGTTGGGGTTTTGGGGCCAGGGTTTCTTAATCAGGTTCCTACATTCGCCCATTTCAGCCCCACAAAGCTTCTCAGCAAGGAAGTGGCCAAACGATTCATGGACCGATCGCTCTGAAGGACCCCGGGCTGTCCTTGCATGAGAAGGCCGTAGGAACTTCAACGCTCTTAGGGCCCTCACAACCCGAAGTCCGAACGACGCCTGATTGCAAGGTATTCAGATCGCCTGTCTTTGCCGCCCAGTGAAGGGGGATGGCGCCACCTGAATTAGAGCAGTGTCGAAACAGACTCTTGCAACCGTCTATGCGGAAAGGCCTGAGGCGCTACCAACAGATGTCTTTCAAGCAAGCCCAGCTGTGCCGCGCAAGCACCAAGAGATGCTTGCTGCATGTGAGAGTTGCCGGAAAAGGTGGCGAAGAAGATCATCGTTGCAGACCCTGTGATGCTCTCCATGCCCTTAAGCTCGAGTCAACAGCAAACCCTGATGCACCGGTTCGCCAAACAGAGTCGCTGGCAACTCGTCGTGAATGCATCTGCGAATCGAGGACAACACAAATGTAGCAAGTGAAGGGCAGCTGATAGAGTACTCAGTACTCAGCAACTCACTATCGAAGTGACCCTCTGCAAACACAAAAGGTCAAAACTGTCCTCTTGGCTCTCCCCTAATCCCTAAACCCTAAACCCTCTCATTTTCGACAGCAGCCGAATCCCCTTCGTGCAGCTGGTAGGCAGCTGTTCATGGCGTTGACGTTTGCCCGTGCTTCAAGCAGGACCTGCTGCAGAAAAGAGCCAGAGAAACCGAGCATGCAAGCAGCACAAACGGCAGCTAATGCAGGGGCCTTAAATAATTATAGAAGTGGGTTTTGGTGTATCTTCTACTTAGTATTTGTAATTTGTAGGGCCCCTTACCGTATTTCAGGCCCCGCAGGTTTCAAGCTTCGACTTCCGCATGCTCCACTGTGTTCTGAGCGAATCGAAGCGTCTTGAGAAGGTCTCAATATGCCCTTTCAATAGCCATTATACCCCGGGCCGGAGAGGCTGAGATACCAGCTGTGCACTTGATCCTTGATTACCAGGCTTTGTCAGGTTCCAAAGATGCCCTGAACCCTAAACCCTAAACCCTAAACCCTGAACCCCAAACCCTAAACCGTGAGAAGCCCAAGACTCTGAATCAGACACCCGCTGAGCCTCGATCGTCTCTCGGACCCCTTCAACGGCTGCGAAGTGCAACGGCGTCCTTGCAGGAAAGAGCACGCGAAAGAATGTCCTTAATCTAGTATAACAAGAGCCTCTGTGCAAGCTTCTTGCATCTCGTCTACAGGGGCATGCTGTAGCAACGTCTCTGTGCCTCTGTGCTCAGTTTTAACCGAGCTTTCGAAACCGTGCAACCTCCGCTTGATCCTTGTGCAATCACGCTGGGCGACCTACCCTACCTCTTTATCCTACTTGAGTAATTACAGGTCTACCGGCCAACCTACCACCCTGCATAACTTGCATATGTATATGTATGCGCGCGTGTACATAACGAAATGAATGAAACAACAAAACAAAAAACGCAGGTATATCTAGATAACAGCCATGTATGCACTTGATATACTTACATGCTTCCATTGACATGTTGACATAAGAGCGTATTCGTACATCTGTACTCTGTATTTCTACATGTCTGTCTGTACATATGCGCATGTACATGTGCATACTTCTGTCCTGCGCTTGCAAAAATGGACGAACGGGTAAACAGGTAGGTAAGACATCAGTAATTAGTGGCGTAAGCCAAAACCTGAAGGGGTGAATGATCATCTGCATTATAAGTACGTGTATATGTATATGTGTATATACATGTACATGCATGTATGTGCACAGCTCTCTTTCTCTCTCTCTCTC